AAAACAACAAAAAAAATGCTACAAAATCACGCTGATCACTTTGGAATATGTACCAAAAGTTGTTCTAGCTCAAACTGGACATTACAGATCTAATAGCACTGATAGAATACTCATTCAGTTATAGTTACCAAGACTATTGACCGAAGTTAAGCCTATGAGAAACTTTAAGAACATTCATGCCTAACTTCTCAACCTCATATCAAAGGCCTCAAGACCCAAACCAACCGTGTTACTAACCCAAAAAGGACCTGATGGAGTATATGGAACTGGAATATTATCTTATGACATCAGATCTCTGAATGTTGATCAAAATCATTTGTTTCACATAAAAATAGAGGTGTTCAAATACTTAATCGATTGATAAACTAAATTAAAAAGTGTTATTGTTTTACTATTATTGCGTTATTGAGGTAACGATTCAATGGTTTTATAAAAAAAATATTATTAGATTATCGGTTCGATATTGATTTCTTAATATTTGGTTATTGAGTTAACTGATAACCATTAAGAATATAAGAATTTACTATTTTTAACTTTTAGTGATGCATAAATGTCATGCCCGAGCCTACACCTCGAATGTGACCGGCACTCGAGAACCATTGATAGCCCTAAGCTAATCATTGGCCTGGCTTACGTACTCAACAAAATATTTTAAGTATTAACATAAGAACTCAAATGCAAGATAAATCAATTGTATCAAACTTAACTAATAATGTTTTAGAAAAACATTTAACTTAGTCAAAGAGGCAACTCAAATCTAAAAATAAGCCAATAACAAAGTAAAGACAAATGAACTAAGTGATTGCCTATCTATGAATCTTCTAAAACTGAGAATGGATATGGGAAACCCAAGACATGCTAATGAACTAAAATCCTGAAAGCAATAAAAAGAATCCTCCGAAAGCTAAGAGGCTCACCAACTGACTCTGAGTGCTTAACTGGATTTATGAGGCGCTTAATGTTGATCCTAGTTACATGAGTCTGTATCATAAGATGATGTAGGACATATGACATCAATACATTGAATGTAAGAGTATGTGAGTTGGAATGCTTAAATAACATAGGCTTGAGAAGATTCTGAAAGGAACACTTACCTTGTCTTTACTCAACTTTTGAATAATATAACTCATTATAAATCAATAAAACATATACAATATATAGAAAGCTCTTAAAATGATAGAAAGTAACTTAGTTCGTCGAATAAAATGCAATAACAAACTCAACTTTACTCATATAATAAAGTAATATCGTTTCTCTAGGAGATTCTCTAACCGACAACTGCCACTATGAGCATAAGTGGTGATACAACGTCTTGCCTTGCCGATGCTGTCATACTTTGTCGTCATATAGGATGTCTTAACTAAGTGGATCCACTAGTCTATTCTAAAAGCATCTTAAGAAGTCATCTAGAAACTATGATCCTTTACTACACATGATGGCTACATGGTTTATGGAGACGTGAGTTATCTAAACTCAAACTCATCCCCATATCAGTGCTCAATACTACTCCAAAAATATACTTAGCTCATCTGTTTGTAAAAACAAAACTCTTTCTTTGGTTTGAGATAATTACTCAAAAACTTTGCTTAAAAGCTCTTTTGGAAATCTTTATTTCCTTTCTTTCTCAAATGTGAAAACATTTTAACTCTTGGAAATACTTAGTTCCCATACAATTTTTTGAATAATGAACTTTACTCTTACTCTTTATTGAAAACTATCTTAAAGTCTATTTTGGAAATCTCAGTTTCCTTTATTGTTAAAATGTGAAAACATTTACTCTTTGGGAATACATAATACCGATATACTTTTTTAATGAGATGACTTTAATCTTTACTCTTTACTCAACTTAAAACATAAGTCTTAAAATCAAGTTAAAACATTTGTAAAAGACTTTTGAAAACATTATGAACTTCTCTAGAGTTGATTCTTAACTTCTAGACTTGAATCTTAACTGATCTTGACTTGACTCTTAACTTTCCTTAAATTGAATTATGGATTCAAGGATTGTGATTTGTTATAGGAAACGACGTTTAGGAATGATTTTAGATAGCTAAACATGAGAACAATCATAAAATGACCGTCTTGGAACAAGTCTGCGATGCGAAGATGCTTGTAAAATTTAATTTTGAAATAGAGGAGTCTGCATCCTAACAGCGATGCAATGAAAATTTGGTTGCGCACTTGCATGCCAAAACACGCTTGACTTTTTCCTTCTCCGGTTTCTAACTCGAATTCTCCTAATTTTAATTCTTCTTCTTTATCCTTCTTTAGATTCAATCACCTGGTATATGTACACAATATTCTAACTCAAAACAGCTCTTAAGTCGACACGAATCAATCAAAAACTGATCAACAATTCAATCAACATCAAGAACTAAAGAAAATTTCAAGAACATTTGTCAAGAACACCATACTTTCAACTTTCTAGAAATGAATTTTGTTGAAGCATTGACTGATGTGTGGGTGAACAAACCCAACCCTATGAAATTCTCACATACCTCCTAAGGATCACCCCTTGACGAATTCCACGATCATAGCTCTGAATATTTGACGATTCTTGCTTCTTATCCTCTTTTCTCTTCTCTAAAAATCCTAACTCAATATTGTAAAGCATAAACTGAATCCTATCAGTTTATTCCTTCAAATAATTGCCCAAAAATTAATTAACTTAGTTGGGTATGGAAAATACCAAACTACCCTTTAAAAATTTAGATTGGACTTTCCTTATTCAATAGTCCAACTTCCAAAGGGCATATTTCACTTATACACACTCATCGCACAAAATCAGAGTCGTTAGAAAAATTATAGAAAGATCATTCCTATGATATCTAAAAATACACCTAACTAATCCTGAGTTAGGAGTTATGCCCGTTTCAAGTTTATCAAAAACTCACTCTTAACTTAACCTAAACAATTTTCCAGATTTTTATTCTTCCCAAAAATGACACTTTCTAATTCAAGCTCAATTAGCGAGATGTTGTTTATATATATATATATATATATATATATTATACTATAATATAAGGGCCCTACACAATTTACGCCACTTAATATGGCCTCTACCCGTTAGGTTTCAGTAATACTTTAGTCTTTATTATTGCAAGTTAGTCTGATTTGTTTTTTTCGGTGTATGCATGTATCGCGTCAAATTATTGGAAAAGTCATATATTTATTTTGAAAGACTTTTCTTATTGGTTAAACAAAAAATTGAATTGTTAAAGACCAAAAACCCACAAATCGATAACCGATAGCAAATATCTTATTTGTTTAGTTATCTATTTAGCATATTTAGGACCCCTAATCCCATAAACCAAATTGATAATGCTTAAAACTGAATCAAACCAATCGATACACACCCCTACTTAAAAACCTCCAAAAACGGGGAAAACATACATAACTTACTTCCAACCATATCAGAAACCGTGCCACACATCCCAACACACCACAAATACTATAATAAAGTTTTGAAAGGGGTAACCATAAAATCACGTAATAACACGCAAATGACCAATAGGATCACAACAACTAACAACTCCCAGCACGCAAGACCATGTGGCACCATGCTTTCAACACAGAATAAATGGTGAAAAATGTAAAGTATCATTGGTAAACCATTTAACAATGTTTGAAGACAAAATTTTCTTTGTTTATAATAGATCTATAAAGCAATGCATAAAATTTTCCACTATTTCAAAATCTAGTATAGTTGAGTGATTTTTGTAGATAAAAGTCTTATGTTGAATAATTTTATTGATATAAAACCAATCTCAATCACTTTGCTAGAAAAATTTTACAGTTCAATAACCTATTCAGATATCAACTCTTCAAAATTCTATTTTATGTATTCTTAATATTGATCATGGGCATATTTATATGCCTATAATGCTAAGTAAGCCCATATTTATGCCTAGTTTTTAGTCATTAAGTTTACACCCGTAAATGAGCAAAGGAAGTCAAGTGTTGAAGAAATACACCTGTAAATGAGCAAAGGAAGCAATATGGAGATTTGAGACAAAAGGAATCAAGGAATACACTGAGGAAATACTAGGAATACTAGGTTGCATGATTCCTAGTAGAAGTTGCAACCCTGGATCTTTCCCACATCATTGTTTGAAACTTAAGAAGTTGAATCATAAGCGTTACACTTTAGTTTAAGTAAATCTAGTTAGTTGAATACTTTTACCAAATAAAAGAATTGTACTAAATTTGAGTGATGAGTTGGAGAAAATGATAGAGTTCAGTATTAAGTCCATGTGGGTATGATACGCGACTCTTTAACAAGAGCCACTTTATTGCTTGTACGATCACGTGCACTTGCGTGTGCGATTTGACTGCAACATGTTTTAGGCACCGCTGCCAGGGACTTTAGCTATTAGAAAATATTTGATTTATCTAGTTCTAAAGTTATACACAAGTGTTGACAACTTGATCTTAGAATTTCATTGTTGTAGGTTTCTTGATACTCCAAACTAGACAACGATCGAGAATTGTTGTGCCTCTCTTAGAACCTGGATGATTCATAAATAGAGAATTAAGGCAAGCAGAATATCCAATTCCTTTGGTCATTGGGGAATTACCATCTCCAATAGATAAAACTAAGGAAAGAGAATAGACACCTGAAACAATGGCAGTTAGTGAGATGAGATTAGAGATGTGGAAATCCCATGACCCACCAAAGTGATGGCATGCATTCAAAAGCCTTAGGCTGGTGGGAGATTTGAACTAAAACAGAGTATGGTGCAAATATTGCACTCAAATGGGTAGTTACTAGTCTCTCACATGAGGATCCTACGTCTCACATTCAGAACATTTTTGAGATCAGTGATACGTACATTCCAACTGTAGGGAATAAAAATTATGTGAGGCTCACCTTATTCCCCTTTTGTCTGCTGGGGGAATAAAAAAGGTGGTTGAATTCAGAGCCCGGAAACTCAATTACCACTTGGAATGATCTAGCACAGAAATTTCTCATTAGATTTTTTCCATCTAGATATATAACTAAGTTGAGGAGTGACATTTTAAGCTTTACGCAGAAAGGTGGTGAGAACTTGTACCAAGCTTGGGACAGGTTCAAATAAATGTTGATAAGTTTCCCTCGTTATCATCAAGACAATAAGGTGCTAGTACATACCTTCGTTGAAGGTCTGGAGCCAAACACCAAGATTTTGCTTGATTTGGTTGCTGGTGAAAAAGCTTTAGAGAAGACTTATGCAGAATTATACACCTTGCTTAATTCGATTTCTCAAGGGAACCCAGAGTCGAATGGGAGTGGTTTAAAACCGGTAGTTCAGAAAATTGCATGTGTACTAGATATTGACGTTGTGACTATGCTAACTACACAAATCTCGGCATTCCTAAGATGATGAATACACATTTTAGACACATGGCCTTGGGACAACATACCGCTCAAGTTAATGCAGTTCGACAACCACCATCTTGGTGTGAGATATGCAGTGGAAGTGATCATAGTGCAAAGATACGTGATGCAAACCCCGACTTTGTAAATTTTATACGTAATGCTCAGAGAGAAGGAGTCCAATAAAACTATTGAAATTCGTACAACCCAAGTTGGCATAACCACCCAAACATTCTTGGGGGAAATCAAAATCAAGTCCAGGGACAGAATCAGTATAAACCTCAAGGTAATTCACAAGGGTACCAAGGACATATGCAGAAGGAACAACCTAAACCGCAATATAGGAATATGAGTGTTGAGGATATGTGAAGAAAATTATGGCATATCAAGCTCAGTTAACCGCAGAAGTGCAAAATAATCAGCTAGCTACTCAGACTCTAGAGAAATAATTTGGGCAGTTTGCTAGTGCTCAAAATTCTAGACAACAAGGAGGGTTATCTGTTAACACTTATCCAAACCCAAAACAGGTGAATGATGTGAGTACTCGTAGTGGTCTACAATTGAACGAACTAGATCCTTAGAAAAACACCATTGAAGCAGTAAGCAAAAAGAGAGTGAACAAAAAAGGGCTGATCCAAAAGAAAATGAAGCAATTGCACCCACTAAGAAGGTACAACCAAAAGCAAGACCACCTCTTCCATTTCCTCAAAAGTTCAAGAAACAAAAGGAGGATGAATGATTTGGTAAGTTTCTATCTTTGCTGAAACAAATTCATATTTACTAGCCTTTAGTAGATGTTTTGCTGGGTATACCTAGGTATGCAAAGTATATTAAGGATATTCTGGCAAATAAAAGGAGGCAGACAGAATATGAGAGAGTTGAACTTACTAAAGAGTCCAAATCAAGGATTCAAAACAGGTACTCATTAAATTGTAGATCTGGAAACTTTACGGTGCAGATTACAATAGTTCAGAGTATTCATGCCCTAGGGTTGTGTGATTTGGGAGAAAGCATAAAGTGATTCCAACCTCACAGTACAAGAAAGTGGGGTTGGGTAGTCCGAAAATAACCACCATAGTTTTACAATTGGGTGATAGATATGTAGCCAAACCTGAAGGGGTGGTGGAAGATGTGTTAGTGTAGATGGGATCTCTAATTTTCCCAGTGGGCTTGTGGTGCTGAACTTTGATCTTAATCTGGAGGTCTCATTCACCTTAGGCTGACGATTCTTAGCCACAGGGAGTGCTATGATAGATGTAGCAGCTGGGCAACTCACTATGAGAGCTCATTATAAAGTGGAGGTTTTGGATATGTACAAAGCATTGAAGATGCCATCGATATATAAAGAGTTTCGTGCTATTACTGTGATAGATATAGAGTAGAAGCTAAGTACATAGTGGCTAAGGATCCTCTGGAGCAAGTGTTGAGAGGTGATGACATCTATGAAGATGATAAGGCATATGAAATTGTGCAATTTTTAGCTGTATAATTAGTAGCAACTACTGGAGAGACATAAGATCCATTAAACAGGGTGTTAGGACCTCCACATAATCCCTCCATGGAGAGAACTCCTAAGCTAGAGTTGAAAGAGCTTCCGGCCCATCTCAGGTATGCATTTTTTAGTAAAGAAAACACTTCACCGGTTATTTTGTCTATAGAATTATCTAAGAAACGGGTTGAAGCAGCATTATTGATTCTCATGAAGAGAAAAGCGCCACTAGGTTGGAAAATGTCATATCTCCATGGTATAAGCTCAGCTCTCTGTATGCACAAGATATACATGAAGGAAGGAGTTAAGTCAAATGCATAGTATCAACAAAGATTGAATCCTTTGATGAAGGATGCATTCATAAAGGAAGTGAATAAGTGGCTCGATGCAGGGATAGTGTACCAAATATCGGAGAGTAAATGGGTGAGTCTAGTGAATTGTGTGCTTAAGAAAGAGGGGATGACGATAAATGATAAGAATTAATTAGTTCCCACAAGAACACTAAATGGTTGGAAGATATTCATGGATTATAGGAAACTAAATGAAGCCACCAGAAAGGACCATTATCCGGTGCCCTTCATTGACCAGATGTTAGATAGGTTGGCTGGTTAGGAGTATTACTGATTTCTTGATGGGTATTCAGGGTATAATCAGATTGTTATTGCACCCGAGGATCAAGAGAAGACAACATTCACATATCCATATGGCATTTATGCATTTAAACGTATGCCATTTGGGTTGTGAAATTCCCCAACTACTTTTTTGATATGCATGATGGCACTCTTCCATGATATGGCGGAAGACTATATAGAAGTTTTTATGGTTGAAATTTTGGTTTATCCTGAGTCTTTTGAAGTATGCTTAATCAATCTTAATAAAGTGCTTGCAAGGTGTGAGGAAACAAACTTGGTATTAAATTGGGAAAAGTGCCATTTCTTACTTAGAAAAGGAATTGTGTTGGGTCATAAGGTATCCAAGAGTAAGCTTGTCACATCCGGGGAGCGCCACTTAGAAGTAACATGGTGTACTTGACCTCTCGGAGGTCTTACACAAGCTCATATTTATCATTCACCGAAATGACATATTATATTTAATGAAAATTTAAAACTTTTCATAGCACCTAATATGCTAGAAACTTTACTTCATATACATATAAAAAACATAAGTCGTAATACATTGTTAGACCCTAAGTATCTTTTCCATATTAGACTCAACAACTTTGGAGTACATTAGGGACACGACCCATAAGACATAAACATAAGTACAATATTTAAGACATTACAGTAAACCATAACATAGGAAATTGTTGGACTTAAGGATTCCTTTCCTTGATCTTGGGAATCACATATCAAGATCCTAAATCATAGACATCCTTTAAGCATCCATAACCTACATTTTGTGTAAAAAATAGAGAAGAAAGGGATTAGTAAAAGAATGCACTAAGTATGACAACCATGCAAAAACATGCATTCAGAAGGGACATTTTCTTGAAATCATACTTCATTCCTTTTTTAATAAATTTTTATAAAACCTTTAAACAATAGCATTACAATCAAAGGCCAAACATCATAGAAAATCACATATAGAATTTAAGTCATAAATGGGGTCACTTTACAGTGAGCTCAGTTCCTTTAACAGTGAACTATTTTTCCCTTTTATTCATTAACGTCCCAAATAACCCTCTAATGATACTTGGTGCAATGCATCACCTTAAAGCCACAATAAAGCATACACACAATCTATACAAGGCAACACATACCATCATAGAAGTATAGTACAACATAGACATAGTTAAGTCAAGACCTTCATCATATAGTCAACAAAATCAACACCATGCATTAAGACTCATATCATGCACAGCTTCATAACAAGTAGACAAATACTACAATGTCATGCATAAGGAACACATACATAGTGACATGCATTAGAACACCTCAATAGAAGTTCTTAAGGAGCTACTAGTGCAATGTCTAGATGGGTTCATTACTTCCACCTACCCTAGGTAACCTCCCTTAAGTCTTTCTAGTTAGGGTCCTAGGCATTTACTTCCTTTTTTCCATTTTAAATTAGGGAAACTATAATCTTAACCAACATGCACCATGTGATGCTAAACATGGAATCCGGTGTCATAGAACCCCACACCGAAAGGAGGTGGTCGATCGGCCAAAGTAGATCCAAATGTGACATATCTTTCTAGGTGAAATCCACTAGCTAGTATCTTATGGTGGCAACATAGTTACGGAACTTGGAGGTACATGTGAAAAACCTCTTTATGCCAAGATTAGGCATTGTAGTCATTTACTTATGGAAACCCTATTTATTTCCATTGAGGAATTGTGGTTATCTACGTCATGAGACTTGTGGTGACCTACCTTCCTACCATAGTAAGGGACACACACTCATATTCAATTTCATTGGTTCTAAGCTAAGTTCCTTAATTGAAAACCTTTATTATATTTTTACTTTATAAAACATAGGTTTAGGAGAGTCATCCCCTTATATGCTTAACTCATAGGTCATAGATGAAAGTTAATCAACGAAATTATGTAAAGAATCCCTTCACATGAACATAGCATATGTAAAGCATCATCTAGTTTAGGGTACACATGGACACACCATTCAAGGCCCCTCTCTTGACTAGGTCTTCATACATGTGTGTGTGTATACATATATTGAGCAAACCTTTCACATCACGCATTACGACACACATTTTCATACATACATATACAAACCAAAACTAGAACTATCTTATCAAGGTACACATGTGCAATGCATAGGAAAAATCCCATACCCTTGCCCATACTAGTACACCTACAAAGTCTTCCTAGCTGAGGAAACACATATCATGCTTTCATAAACATCATCTTAACATGCGTAGTAGTATACACTAGTTAATATGAGAACTACCTTACATCTAGACACCATGGCCTTTACTACTTGTAACATGCATGTAAAGTGAGTGCGTGTGTACATTGGTCAACATGATGAAAAAACATATTGAGGTACCACCCTCTTAGACCATAATACTCTTTCAAGCATAAACAACTCAACACACAATGGCATAGGAGACAAGCCAACTTCATAATACACTTAAGACTGCTAACTTGTGCTATTCATGCATTCACATAGGGGCACATAGGTAAGGGATTATTAACCATTTTTAACTCATAAATGGAATCACCTATACTTTACCATAACATGTATATACACATGCTTACACAATAGCCATACAACCGAAATCACAACTAGAATAGGAAAGTAG